TTGCGCCAGGACAAGGGGGACCATGGCCCCCTCACAGAGGGCGATCGGATTCGCGCCCCTCTCCCGGTCCGCCGGCGAGAAACCCCACTCCGCGAGTATGGCATCGTCGAATACACACCATCCTCCCACACGCCCCCCTGTCAAGCAATCGACCAGGAGGTAGCCGCCTGTGGGCGCGGTCGCCCCGTCAGCCCGCGCGTCGCTTGCGATCACAATCAGCGGACACGAGGGCGGGCTCACGTCGACGCTTCTCTTCGGGGCAAGGTCTATTACAAATTCGAAGTAATCGAAGCACCGCCGAATCGCGTGGGATAACGCCCACGGAGGCGCGTCAGTGTACTGCCTCTGCTTCAGCGGCGCCATCGCGGCGCTGCCGACGCCGTTGAACATCGCGGAGGACGACCGCTGCAGAATGCCCCGGAGCTTCGAGGCCTCCGCTGGTGTCAGGCTGTTCCGCGCACGGTGCTCCGCGAGCAGGCCTTTGATTTTGTCAATCATGCTGGCCTTCGGCCAAAAGGAGACCACCCCACTGCCTTCAAAAACCCGAGACACGTCGTGATCGACTCCCAAGAATGCCCCAGTGGCGGCCATGCGCTGCTGCTTCGCGCTGGCATTCGGGGTGCCCAACTCCGAAAACAAGACGTTGAGTAAAGCCTGTCCCGAGCCTTTCGCCAATCCGAGGTCCCCAAGACTGCCATCATCGACATACATTGTGTGCAACAATGCCGCCACGCGCCTGGCAGCGGCTTCCAGAAAGGCAGACCACCGCATGAAATTCATAACACTCGACGACAAGCCGAACAGCATGGCGATTGCAGTCAAGTATCGCCACTCCCCGCTGCGCGGTTCCCGCGCCGCAATGACGTTATATCGCAGCTGCGCGGGATTGACCGGCACGGACCTGTATGCGTCCGGCAGGTCCTCGCCTCCAGTCTCAAGGGTTAAGCCCTCATCGGCAAAACCTCCCGCCGCAGCTTCCTGCCTGAGGGCGCACGCCAAACACCGGGCCGGACCACGCCCCTTGGACACCGGAGGGCCCCACTAGGCCCACACGAACGGACCCGGGGGAACGGCCCGCGGGAAACCCGCGACACACCGGCCGGCGGGGAGGGGGAAAAGGCCACCTCCGGTGTTTGGCGTACCTCCCGACCGCTGCCTCAAGACTTTGCCATACAATGCAGGCGTGAACGCTGATGGCAAGTGCCACTTCTCAGGGTGCACCGTCGCGCCGTTCTGCCCACCGGCTTTAGCATCGTCTATCCGCCGACGCTTGCCGTTCTGCTGCACGTGCACGAACGACGGCACGGCCGCCCAGCGCCCGGCGCCGTTCTCGCGGTCCATCGCGGCCAGCGACGCCGGAGGAGCAGCCCAGCCCTTCTCGCATTCCTTCAAGCATGATTCCCAAAGAAACTCAGCCTCAGGATCAACCCGTCGCTTGTCCCTGGAACGTAAAGCGCGGTGGACTCCGCCAACAAGCGGTCTTCAGAAACAGGTTCCGAACTTTCGCACCGCTCCCAGACACCCGTCTCCTCCAATCGCCCCACGATATTGAAGCCGGTCACAAATCTCTGGGCCAGCTGCCAATCCGGCCAACCCATCACCCAAGTCAGAACACAACTCAGCGCGATGTGGGTGTTCTGCGCCACGGCATGTACTGAGGGGCTTTGCCAGAGCCGAAGGGCGCGGGACACCGGCGCCAGCCTTTGACTAAGCTCCTTCATCGCCCCGGCGCAAGACTCGCGCCACTGCCTCAGCCGATTACCACCGGCCCACGCGAACGCAACCGTGGCAAAGGCAGCATACTTCAAATCAACGGGTGCCATGTACTCATCGTCGAATGGCAATCGCCCCGCGCTCGCGAATTCGATGCAGTGAGCGAGGTGTGCCCGCTCCCCCACGCCGAGTTCGATAACCGGCGCCAGCGCTAGCCTGTGGTCGAGCACGCCTGCCTGGCGACCCAACACGGCGCTCGCGCGCCCCTTGGAATTTCTGCCCAGAGAACATCCCAGAGGTGGTCCTTCGTCCTGCAGCTCCGCCCAGATGGCGAAATCAACGAATGGCGAAGTATTCAACAAGTCTTGCAAGAACGGGATGGGAACGCCCACCAGCCACTCTTCCGGAAAGGACTTCCGAATTTTCACAGCGATGTCCACCTGGCTCCATCGCGCGCCCACGACGCTGGGGCACGCGACCCCACTGGTGACTGCCCCTTCTGCCGCGGCGGGCGGCGCGGCAGCGGGTGCGTTTCAATCGCCCTTGCGGCCGCGCTTGCCGCCGTCGGCCGCGCCCCCGCTCGCGTTCCTCGTATCGCAAACTACAACGCCGGGTGTTCCGAACATTCGGCGCTAACCGTCGCCTTTCCCGGACCCAGGGCGCCCCCGGACCCGGGCCGCCCCCTTTAAGCTAGCAGGGAAACCAAAAACTGAGACCCGGGCTCCTGGTGCACTTGAGGGCGCAGTGGTTCGACATGCCACACAAGCGCCCCGTCTTGTTGATCACGACGGAACAGACGTGCTTATACCCGCGAGGGCACGGCTCGGAGCTCTCCCCGGCGTTGAACTTGCGACACACCTGGGTTCCGTCTTTCAACCGAT